AGAGAGCTGGATCGGAAGTGGAACAGCTGGACTTGACCCGGCGCCCATATGGGATGCCAGCACTGCAGGAGGTGGCTTTACCCGCTACGCCACAGTGCCAGCCCCCCAAAAAAGAATTTTCTAAAGCAAAATATTGAAAATGTTTTTGTCTTAAGCTGTCTCATCTTCCTGAATTCAGGATAGACTTGAGGATTAAACCATGATTAGGCCACCTAATAATGTGTTTATATTTATGCTTATCACACTGAAATCTACTAAACCTTTTGGATATTTAATAAAAATGCAGGTACATTTGAGAAAAAAAAAAAGAAAAATTACTCAGTGTGCCTGCATATTGGCAACAGCAACTTGCCATACAAAAGATAGCATGTTATTTTTAGGCATTCCTGAAATTGTGAAACTCAGAAAGCACATTTATATTATAAAAACATTATGTTTGTTAGTACTTTATATCTATTATAATCCTCATGAAATCCCTCTGCAAGAACTGGCATTTTTGTCTCCACTTATTTATTTTATTTATTTATTTGAAAGGCAGAGTTACAGAGAGGCAGAGGGAGGGTGGAGGAGGAGAGAGGGAGAGAAGGAAAGTCTTCCATCCACTGGTTCACTTCCCAAATGGCTGTGACAGCCAGAGTTGGGCTGATCCAAAGCCAGGAGCTTCTTCTGGGTCTCCCACATGGTACAGGGGCCCAAGCACTTGGGCCATCTTCTACTGCTCTCCCAGGCCATAGCAGAGAGCTGGATTGGAAGTGGAGCAGCTGGGTCTTGAACCGGCGCCCATATGGGATGCTGGCACTGCAGGCAGTGGCTTTACCTGCTGCGCCACAGTGCTGGTCCGTGGTCTCCACTTTGAAGATGAGGAAACCAAGGCCACAGGGCCTCAGCTGTGTGACCTGCTCATCAGCGCACGAGTGGCTGCCACAGTCAGGGTCCTGGCAAGAAAGGTGCACTCCACTCGGGTGACTGCAGAATTCAGTAAAGAAACTGTGATGGCCGGGACAGAGGTACAGCTGTTTGGCCTACCCCAACTGGAACAACTGCATCCCATACCAGAGGGCCTGGGTTTGAGTCCCAGCTACATATCCTGATCCTGGCTTCCAGCTAACGAGCACCCTGGGAGTCAGCACCCTGGGAGTAGTTGGGTCCCTGCCACCATGTGGGAGACTCTGCTTAAGTTCTGAGCTCCAAGCTTTGGCCAGGTCCACCCCCAGTTGTCCCAGGCATTTGGGGAGTGAATCAGGGGGTGGGACCTTTAGGTCTCTCTCTTAGTCTTTCAAAAAAATAAAATAAAATAAATTTTTTTGAAGTAGAGGCAGGGTGTAGGGAAACCACGTGGGCAGTGTACTGTTGGGGGGAGCTACCCAGCCTGTGCGGGAGAGCAGACGTGGAGCAAGGAGGCCAAGCCCAGGGAAATCTGCAGTCCTAGGACTTGGGGGCCACAGCAGCCTCCTAGCTCTAAGAACTCAGGGGAATTAACTCCAGCCCCGCGGTCCCCCGACCCTTGGGCCCCCCGTGGGGTGGTCTCCTCGCCTCTCTGGACACCAGAGCACAGGAGCCCACACAGGTCCACAGACGGGCCAGCCTCTGGGGCACAGGGCGGCGCTCTGAGGTTGGGGGGGACAAGCAGAGCCCGCGCAGAACAGTCCATGCTTAGACCTCATATTTAAAAAATTAAAAAACACCGAAAAAATGAATGACACCTGTGGGCTGACACGTTCACTGTCCTGATTCGTATGATCATAATGGACACCTGTATCAAAACATCCAGTTGTGCACCTTAAACATACCATTTTTATTGTCAATTATAATGCAATAAAGCTTTAAAAAAAAAAAAAAAAACTCAGACTTCCCGTCTCCTATTCCTGGGAGTTTTCACAACCCTTAGGCTTACGCACACTGAGCCCTGGCAGAAAATTCCAGAGAATTCCAGAGAAGATCCCTGGGGAGACCACCCCAAGGCCCACAACCTCCCTCAGCACCAAACGTGAAGCTGGTGTCCTAAAAATGCTACTGTGGGCATTAAGCTCCACGAGAGGATGGACAAGCAATGGCGTGGGAGCTGCAAACCAGAGGGTGGCAGGCAGCCGGCCCGCGAGCTGGCAGGCCGAGACGGCTCACTCTGAAGTCCTCGCTGGTTCTTGGCCACCACGCCCTGGCAGAAACACCCGGCAGCCTTGAATGCAGCCACAGTGGTCATTAGCCACAAGGCTGGCCAAGGCTCAAGGAGAAAAGAACCCTTTTCCTATCTTTTTCGCCTGGCAATTAAATTATCCAGAAAGACAGACTCTCAGTCTTGTTTCTGACTTCCCGGTTTGCGCTTGGGCAGCCTGGGTTAATTTTCACGTAATGCCCCTGGCACAGGACTCCAGATCTTAATGACAAGGAAGCATCTGGGGGAGTTGGAGCTTGCTGTCTTGGAGAAATTCCTTTTTCACCTTTATCCCGGGTTCTCTGGGGGCGAAAGTCATGCCAGAGTTTAACGACGATGACCTTTTCCAAACCCAGGAGCTATGCGGGCAGTGTAATGAGAAATGCAAAGCCTGATGTTCTCATGGAGCAGAAGCTCGCCGTGAGGTCATGGCCAAAGAATTCTCAGTTCCTGTCCTAGCAGAACTGCTTCCAGAGAAATGAGGCGATGGTCACGTGTAGCCCTTATGGTCTGAGTGGCCACGTTCCTGAAAAAAACTGTAACTGCTGGAGTCTATGATGACTTCTCTACAAGGTTAACCAAGTCAGATTCACTCCCCTGCTCCTTACCCAAGTGAGGCCCGAGCACTGTGGCTGGGAAGATTTTGCTCAGCTCCACGCTTCTGGAGCGCCAGTTTCCCCGGTTCTGTTGGAATTGACCAAAGCAGCATAGAGCCGAGCCAATGGGTTCTTGTGAAGATGATTCTGGCACAGCGCCCCGAGCATTGTGCCTGTCTCTGGACTTTTGCTCTTGCTCTTGGATCTCGGCATGGCTCACCTCCTCACCTCCTCACCTCCTCACCTCCGCCAGGACTTTGCTCATATGTGGCTGCCTCAGTGAGACTTTTCCTCACCACGCCTTCCCCTGACTTACCCATTTTTTTTTCCCATAGCACAACATCTAACTTACTCTCCCCTCTTATTTATTTACCTATTTTTATTGTGGTAAAATATGCATAACATAAAATGTACTGTTTTAACCATTTTGTTATATTATTTGAGAGGCAGATGGCGGGTAGAGAGACAGATGGACAGACCACTCTCACCTGCTGGTTCAGTCTTCAAATGCTTACGATGGTGAAAGCCAGGAGCTAGGAACTCAATCCAGGTCTCCCACACTGGGGGCAGGGACCCACCTACTTGAGCCAAGTGCCTCTCAGCGTCTGCCTTGGCAGGGAGCTGGAATGAGGAGCTAGAGCTCCGACTGGAACTCCAATACGGCATGTGGTGTCTTAACTGCTAGGCCACTTGCCTGGCCCCATTTGAACCATTTTTTAAGAGTTCATTTCGGTGGCACGAAGGACATTCATATCACTGTGCAACCATCACCGTCGTCCATCTGCAGAACTTTGTCATCTTCTCCCAGCCGAAACCGTGGACCCATCAGACACTGCCTCCCTGTGCCCTCCCTCCCTTAGCCCTTGGTGCTATGGTCTGGATGTGGTTTGTCCCCCAAGGCTCTGCACACTGGAGGCTTAGTCCTCTGTGTGGTGGCCTTGAGGCTGTGGAAGCTTTAAGAGGAGGGCCCTACTAGGAGCCCCTTAGGTCGCTGGGGGCACTGCCCTCGGATGGGATCACTGTAGTTCTTACGGTACCCTTCTGCCAATTCTCAACAGAGGTTTTTCTGAAAGAGCAAGCCTGGCCCCACCCAGTCCTACCAGGCTTCCTGTCTGGCCATGTGATCACTTCCCCTGGCACACAGGTCTGTCATTGTGCTGCATCTGACATGTGGTCCTCACCAGAGCCAAACTAATGCTGACATCGCACCTTTGAATCCCCAGAACTGGAGATACATAAATCTCTTTTTTTTTTTTTTTTTTTTTTGACAGGCAGAGTGGACAGTGAGAGAGACCATTGGTTCACTCTCCAATGGCTGCTGCGGCTGGCGCACTGCAGCTGGCGCACTGCGCTGATCTGAAGCCAGGAGCCAGGTGCTTCTCCTGGTCTCCCATGCGGGTGCAGGGCCCAAGCACCTGGGCCACCCTCCACTGCACTCCCGGGCCACAGCAGAGAGCTGGCCTGGAAGAGGGGCAACCAGGAAAGAATCCGGCACCCCGACCAGGACTAAAACCCGGTGTGCCAGCGCCGCAGGTGGAGGATTAGCCTAGTGAGCCGCGGCGCCGGCCAAATCTCTTTTCTTTATAAAGTTACCCAGCCTCAGGTACAAGCGTTTTGTAATAGCAACAGAAAATGGACCACTGGTGACCATTATTCTAATTTCATTCTCCATGAATCTGAGTATATTATCTGACTCTATTTTTCAGTTGTGTGTGTGGTTTATTTCACTCAGCATAATGCCTTCACATGTTTATATATATGTTGTAGCATGGGCCAGTATTTCATTCATTTTTTAAGGATGAATAATATTTCATTGAATGTATGCACCACATTCTGTTTGTCCACTCATTTGTCAGTGGGCCCCTGACCTTTGGGCTATTGTGAAAAATGCTGCTGTGAGTGTGGGGCACAAATATCTCTGAGTCTCTATATATATGGGGGGTGGGTCTACAAAAAGTTCATGGAAATGTATACTATGAAAAAAACTATGCTTGGATTTTCAAAATATTTTGCACCAAAATTTTTAGTATATGTGCTGCCGAAGCGAGCACTTTGCACCAAAATAAACTTATCTTTTCACTCCATTTTCTGTGAACTTCCTGCAGTGCCTTCGTATACCCAGAAACAGAATTGCTGGGCCAAATTCTACATTTAATTTTGGAGGAATTTCCATGCTGTTTTCCACAGTGGCCACACCATCTGCATTCCCATCGAGCCATCTAACCCTACTTTTGCTTCTGTTCTTTGTTTAGTGCTCCCCACCTTCACTGGAGCATAGTCCCATGAGGTTAGAGACTTGCTTCCCAAGTATGTGGAACCTGGCTTGGTGCGAGTCAGTCAATGACCGGTAAGTACGCGTGGGGCGAATGAGCTGACTCGGTGCCTCTGGCCTCTTTTGCACCACCCTGAACTCCTTCAAGGGCCAGGTGCCAACGGAGACTTGAGAGGCCCATCTCCCCAGACGACTCTGCCCCGCTGTGTGCGCGCCACTTATAACTCTTCCCCATTTCTGCTTCGCCTTCCGGTTGTCTGTGAACTTGCCCCATCTCTTCCTCTGAATTCTGACTTCTTTAATGTTTGGGAGCTTGGTTTATTTACTGTGGGTCTTTTCTTATCTTGTTTTTATCATCTCTCTGGCCCAAAGCATGGAGACTCAACACATTATATTTTCTTAGTGCGTTTTCTCTTGCTATAACAAAATTCTTGGGCCCGGGTAACTTATAAAGAATGGAGATGTGAGCCGGCGCCGCGGCTCACTAGGCTAATCCTCTGCCTTGTGGCGCTGGCACACCAGGTTCTAGTCCCTGTAGGGGCGCCGGATTCTGTCCCGGTTGCCCCTCTTCCAGGCCAGCTCTCTGCTGTGGCCAGGGAGTGCAGTGGAGGATGGCCCAAGTGCTTGGGCCCTGCACCCCATGGGAGACCAGGATAAGTACCTGGCTCCTGCCATCGGATCAGTGCAGTGCGCCAGCCGCAGCGCGCCAGCCGTGGCGGCCATTGGAGGGTGAACCAACGGCAAAGGAAGACCTTTCTCTCTGTCTCTCTCTCACTGTCCACTCTGCCTGTCAAAAAAAAAAAAAAAAAAAAGAATGGAGATGTGGTGCTGGCACTTGGTGCCACAGTTAAGGCACCACCTGGGACGCCTGCGACCCTCATGGGAGTGCCTGAGTTCGAGTCCTGGCTCTTCTTCCACTCTGACCCAGCTTCCTGCTGCATCCTGGGAGGCCACAGACGACGGCTCAGGTGCTGGAGCCCCGACACCTGTGTGGGAAACTCACATTGAGTCCTGGGCTCCCAGCCTCGGCCTGGCCCAACTCTGCCTGCTGTAGACATCTGGGCAGTGAAGCAGCAGATGGAAGATCTCTATTTCTGTCTGCTTTTCAAATAAAATGAAAATTAAGCCACTGGTTAAAAAAGTAGAATAGAGGTTGATAGTCCATGCTTCTGGAGGACTCTCAACTGGAGGACTATCTGGAGGTTGGTCCCAGATTATTATTATTGCCGCAACATACCACGGTGAGAGGGAAGGCGCATGCTAGCTGGAACCTCTCTTCCTCTTACAAAGCCTCTAAGCCATCATGGCCTCGTGACCTGCTCTACTCAAAACAACCTCCGAAGAGCACCACCTCCACACATGCTAACACACGAATGGGGATTAAGTTTACATACATGAACCTCTGGGGGACCCATTTAATGCACAGCACGCATGCGCGCACACATGCACATATCAAAGCCATGTCCTAAATGCCCAAGGTGAGTAGCGACACTGCAGACTGGGCTCAAGGCATTCAGAGCTCTCTGAAGCCCACCCCTCACAGGGTCCCTGGCTCCATGACCTTGGCATGAACCTCATCCTTCAAATCTGATCCTCCTGTGTCGGATGAAGGGGTTGGACCAGTGACCTCTCAAGGACACTGCGTGCGCTGTGGGGCCAACCCTTGGGCAGAAAGCAGGGCTATGGGGTCCTCGCCTTGCCTTTGGGAACCCCTTAGTCTGATGTGGATAAAACAAAAATGGAAAGCGAGGTTAAGGGACCCCAGAGGAGCCCTGTGCCAGCGCAGGCCTTGCCTGGGTGGGAGGGCATACCCAACTTCCCCTCGTCCAGCCCATTCCCCACAGCTGGCACTGCAGGGCACGGAGCCCTCTGAAGTGCAGGGAGACCGAGAGGCTCATCCTTAGAACCCATGTGGTTTTGTTTGGTTATTTTAAACTGTTTGTCTTTCTGGCCCTGCCCCAGGGAATGAACATTTAGGGGCAAAACAAAATGGACTTGGGCCTCCCCTCCCCCCACACCCTTGGCACAGCTATTTGTGTATAAATAGGACTTAAGTGTAGTCTCTAAAGACTTGCGGCCCAGCCCCCACCGTACTCCCCTTCTTTCTGAGAGGCTGAGAAAGAATGAGTTTTACACCCAAGAGTGGAATGTTTCCACTAGTCTTACATATTTCAAAAATATTTACCGTTCAAGTTCATAAGCAATGCACTGACGATATTCACCGATCCCTTAAACGAGTCACAATCCAACAGCCCCAACGCGACTCTGTATTTTTACCAAGTGTCTTCCAGTTTTCCCCGCAGGAAGGCCGCGTCCACAGCGTGGAGACCAGGCCATAGTTCCTTTGTGGTTCACATTTTCTTACTAACATCAGTAATCCCACACGCTTTCCGAAAGCGTGTCCTCGTTCAATGTCACAGCTTGGTAAATCCAGGTGGACTCCATCACGGATGGATGGCCCTGGGCTAACGCTGGGTAGGCTATGGAGAGGTGAGGGCTAGCTCAGAGATAAGACATCCACCCATGAAACAAGCTGGGACAACAGCTAACTGTGGAAAATTGTGACCAGGCACTCACGAGGCAGCGTGCGCGGTGGGGGACGGCTGCCCAGCTCCGGGGAATGGGAGGCAGATACCTGGCTTTGAAGATGGGGGAGTTGATTCAGCTGTGGCCAGTAGCTTTGTAGGCAGGGAGGCAGGTCAGGTCCGGGAAACTGGAGGGAGGTGTAGAATACAGGGGATACACAGTTTGGGGCCCCCCACGGCAGATTGGCCCAACAGGCACTGGAAGGGAAGAAGGAAGAGGAAAGCGAGGGAGGTACTGGGAATGAGAGAAAACTTCAGAGCTTCCCAAAGGGCTAGCGAGAAGGGGAGTTGCTGCTCTTGGCATCCCTGAGGGGCAGCGGGTGAATTCGGTCCTGTGGCCCCCGTTGGTCTGGGAGGGTGGCTGCTGTTTTGTTTTTGAACTGAAAAGGACCAGGGCTGGTGCTGTGGTGCCAGTGGGTTAACGCCCTGGCCTGAAGCGCTGGCATCCCATATGGGCACCGGTTCAAGACCCTGCTGCTCCACTTCCGATCCAGCTCTCTGCTATGGCCTGGGGAAGCAGTAGGAGATGGCCCAAGTCCTTGGGCTCCTGAGCCCACGTGGGAAGACCCAGAGGAAGCTCCTGGCTCCTGGCTTTGGATCGGCAAATTGGGGAAGTGAACCATCGGATGGAAGCTCTCTCTCTGTCTCTCTCTCTCTCTCTGCCTCTTCTCTCTCTGTGTAACTCTGACTTTCAAATAAATAAATAAATCTTTACAAAAAAAAAAAAAAAAAGGACCTAGCCTGCTGTAGCCAGCCAACAGAGGAGATTTAAGCTGTCAGAGAGCAGGAGGTCAAAGGGGAAGCAGGCACCTCAGGCCTCTCACACACGGTAACACTACAGGTGGAGCGAGGACCTTGCCCTCTCCTCCCCGGCTCCTTCCTGGCCAGAACGGTGCCAGTGCAGAGGAGGTCCCGGTTAAGCATTTGCAGCCCGAGAACTGAATCACGCCTCGCTGTGCAGGATGTCTGCGCCCAGGTTGGCACATCGCGTCCTGCCCCAGGCCCCTTCGTCACTGAGGTCACACAGGGAGGCAACTTCTCATGGTCCTTTAGGGACAGGTCAGGCGGGCAGGCCGTGTGAGTCTCCAGAGGCATAAGCCTAGCTTTGCTGAGCCCTGTAAGGCTTGGCGCTGGGAGCTGATGACTCGAGATCCCAGTTAGTCATCCTGGCAGCTGCTTCCCGCCCCCCTTCCCTGTCGCCTTCCGCCTTCCGCCGGGGCTTCTCAGGTGCTAAGCGGATAGTGCCTGGACTCATCCATTATTACTGCTGGAAGGCAGCTTACGCGGCAGCTCGTGCGCCTGCCGCAGCACACAGATGGACTGAGTCAGGCCCACAAGGGAGCAGGGCTGACCCAAATCGTGTGGCTGCTTGGTGTCGGCTGTGGCAAGAAGCCCATCAGCTCCACTCCAGCCTCCTTCGTTCAGGCACCTAATGAATGTCACTGAGCGCATGCCGTGTGTCAGGCGCCACCTCGGTACTGGCAACACAGCAGCGCGCAGACAGATTAAAAATGCTCGGGTGGGGCGACCAGCCATCAGTGAGATAAGTGAAGTGGACGGTGGGAGGTGCCCAGGGAAAGGCAGGAGACTGATAGGAGCTGGCAAGCACAGAGGAAGTAGCTAAGGGTAGCCGGTGCCCGGCTCACTAGGCTAATCCTCTGCCTTTCGGCGCCGGCACACCGGGTTCTAGTCCCGGTCAGGGCGCCGGATTCCGTCCCGGTTGCCCCTCTTCCAGTCCAGCTCTCTGCTATGGCCCGGGAGTGCAGTGGAGGATGGCCCAAGTGCTTGGGCCCTGCACCCCATGGGAGACCAGGAGAAGCACCTGGCTCCTGCCTTCGGATCAGCGCCGCATGCCGGCCGCAGTGCACCGGCCGCGGCGGCCATTGGAGGGTGAACCAACAGCAAAAAAGGAAGACCTTTCTCCCTGTCTCTCTCACTGTCCACTCTGCCTGTCAAAAAAAAAAAAAAGTAGCTAAGGGAGGCCTTGGTGAGAAGGTGGCATTAAAGGGGTTGGCACTGTGGCCTAGCAGGTAGAGCCACCACCTGCAGTGCCGGCATCCCGTATGGGCACCGGTTCAAGTCCTGGCTGCTCCACTTCTGACCCAACTCCCTGCTAGTGTGCCTGGGAAAGCAGCAGAAGATGGCCCAAGTGCTTAGGCCCCTGCATCTACATGAGAGACCCGGAAGAAGCTTCTGGCTCCTGGCTTGGCCTGGCCCAGCCTCGGCCATTATGGCCATTTGGGGAGTGAACCAACAGATGGAAGACTTTCTCTGCCTCTCTGTAACTCTGAGTTTCAAATAAATAAATATTTCTTTAAGATGACATTAGAACAAAGGGCTAAACAGGAAGTGGGAAGGAGCATGGGGCTATCTGGGTCAACAATGACACAAAGGCACCAAGGCAGGAGAGGCCCTGGCATGTTCTAGGTGCAACAGGGAAAGGAAGAGGCAATGAGCCGATGGGATATCAAGGCAAGTCAACATGGGGTCTCCGAGTCCACAGCGAGGACTTCGGTCCTCCCAGTTGCAGCCCAGGGACCTAAGTCATGACCTGCCTTTCCCTGTTGACTCTGCAGGAGCAGCAGTGAAGGGGGCCAGCCAGCAGGGCTTAGAGCAGTGGTGTGGGAAGCTACTGCCTGTACCCCCCGTGCTAGTCCACCCCCGTGTACCCGCTCCAGAAGTCCTCCGGGTACAGGGCGGCCTTCCGGCTCAGGTTAAGGAACAGACGCCAAGCCAAGCCAAGCCGAGCCAATTAAGTATGCAGAAGCTACAAAATGCCTGCAGGGGGGCAAGTTCACAGCTGAAGTCAGTGAAAAGAGCTGAGTCAGAGCCCCGGAGCACCCAGGCCCTGAATGGGTGAAAGGCAGAAACGGATACGTGGATCTGCCTGGCTGACAGTGTTGTCCTTAGGGCTTTGCATTTTATTAGCCCAGGTTTCTAATTTCTCCCTGCCCCATGCTTCCTGCCAGCACTCCATGCCCACACAAGTGAAGGCCTCTTCTCGGGCTGGCTCGCTAGGGACCTGTGTGGATCCCAGGCCCTGGGTGGGCAGCTGAGGCCCTCGGTTGATTAGCTCCTGCCTGCCAGGGATCCCACCTCCGAGAAGAAGGAGTTACACCTGGGGCAGAGCCGGGTGGAGAGAACGTTTCCCTGGGTGTCATAGTTTCTCCAGGGGACCAGACCCCTCTGCTCTGTGGGGGTTCCAAGGGTCTGTGTAGAGCCAGGCCGAGAGCAATGAGGCTGAACTTGGACTCTGGTTCTGGCTGTGGTCCTCATCTGCGAGGCCCCTCTTCTTCCCCCAACAGAGTCCAGAAGTCAAGATCAATTCCATTCCACTTTCACTTCCCGCGTTAGATGGCCACGCACACTGTTGCAAGGGGTTGATAAGGCATGAATCTTCCCTTCAGGGAACATTGAATCTATTGTGTGTTGGGGACAGGTGCACACACATGTGTGTGTATATGTGTGTGCACTAACTCACACATGCTTGTGGGAGGCAGCCCAGGGTGTTAGTAGGAAGGGTGCTGAGCTAGAGTGAGATGGCCTCGTCCCAAATCCTGGTTACCCAACCTACTTCCTGTGGGCCTTTGGATCAGCCACCTGTTTTCTTAAAGTCCGGCCTCCCACTGCTATCCAACAGGGACAATGACATTTGCTCCATCTGCACGGGGGAAGGATCCCGATGTAGCAATGTCTACACGTGGTAAAGTACTCAATACACATAAGAGGTGTACGCTCATGACTGTTAGCAGCACGTATGTTAGAAACATACAACGTATTAGCATTGGGCAAAAAGAACAGGCTAAAATGAAGGAGCAGAAACTCCAGAAGCTGCTGTGGACATGTGTGGATATGTTGGTTGATGCAGGGCTGTGCACTGCCAATTCTGCCAAAGACCCTCTAGAGAGACCCCACAGCTCTCTGGCAGAGCAAGAAAGCCCCCTTTCAGCACAGAGGAGGCTGCCTCCTTCCCAGACCATTGTCAAGGCCATCACTGTTGTTAGCCACAGACATTACATGCTAAGATTGAATGAGGCATTGGGCCAACAAGGAGAGCTAACATTTGTCTTTTTAAGATCTTATTTATTTATTTGCGAGGTAGAGTTACAGATAGTGAGAGGGAGAGACAGAGAGAAAGGTCTTCTTTCTGTTGATTCACACCCCAAATGGCCACAATGGCCGGAGCTGCGCTGATCTGAAGCCAGGAGTCAGGAGCCAGGAGCCAGGAGCTTCTTCTGGGTCTCCCACCCAGGTGCAGGGGTCCAAGGACTTGGGCCATCTTCTACTGCTTTCCCAGGCTATAGCAGAGAGCTGAATTGGAAGTAGAGCAGTCGGGACTAGAAATGGTGCCCATATGGGATGCCGGCACTGCCAGGGGCAGCTTTACCCACTACACCACAGCGCTGGTCCCCCACGTATTTTATAGCTAACGAAGAACCCAGCACTCCCGCTCCGTTTGCTTGTCTTGTCGCTCTGCTGATGCCGCCTCTCCCACACGGCTCTCCACGCCCAGCTGACTTCCCAGTTACCCTGTGAGCCAAGAGCAAGTAGACCAAGCAGGCAACTCGCTTCTCAAGTGAGGGTACAGAACTCCTGCCCTGTTCATCTCCGTTCTCCAAGCGCTGTGGGGAGAGCTTATCTCGGGTTTGCACTTGCAGGACCCAGCAGAAACTGCAGCCGTCGTGAGCCAACTCCTTGTGCCTCCACGTGGAGATGAAGGGCCAGAAATGCCCAACCTCTCCCGTTCAGGAAGAGCACCCGAGAAATCGAGTGCCAGCTGCCTTCCCCGCTGTCGGAGTGCCGGCCGCCCGGCTCCCAGACAAAGCCAGCGAGGCGAGCCTTCCTTTACAGTTATAAGCTATTTCACATACCTACCTTTTTAAATATTAGATTGTTGTGGAAATCGTGTATCTGTCAGATTTACCCTTTGGGGTTTTTGTGTTTGCAGTCTTGCCTGGGAAGGGCATTCGTAATCACAAAAATTAAAAAAAAAAAGTTTTGTTTCTAATACTTTACTATGATTTAGCTTCTGAATCCATCTGGAATATTCTGGGGTCTTTCCCCAAAGTGATACGTCAGTCCCTCTAGGAGCATCTGCTCCTTTATTTGAAATGCCCCATATGGCAAGTAGAATAGTCTTTTTTAAAATTTTTCTTAGATTTATTTATTTACTTGAGAAGCAGAGTTACAGAGAAGGGAGAGAGGAGAGAGGGAGATCGTCCATCCACTGATTTGCTCCCCAAATGGCCGCAGCAGCTGGGGTGGGCCAGACCAAAAGCCAGGAACCAGGAGCTTCTTTTGGGTCTCCCATGCGGGGGCAGGGGCCCAAGCACTTGGGCCGTCTTCTTTTTTCTTTTTTTTTTTTTTTTAAAGATTTATTTATTTGAAAGGCAGAGTTACAGAGAGGCAAACGCACACACATAAACACAAACAGAGAGAGAGAGAGAGAAAGAGAGAGAATCTTCCATCTGCTGGTTCACTCCCCAAATGGCCACAATGGCCAAAGTTGGGTTAATTTGAAGCCATGAACCAGGAGCTTCTTCTGGGTCCCCCACATGGGTGCAGGGGCCCAAGGACTTGAGCCATCCTCCACTGCTTTTCCAGGCCATTGACAGAAAGTGGGATTGGAAGTGGAGCAACAGGGACTCATATAGTATGCCCATGTGGTATGCCAGTGCTGCAGGCAGAGGCTTAACCTACTATGCCACAGCACCAGCCCCTAATTTAACATATATTGATTATTATGTCTCTTTGGTCTCACATACATTACTTATGTTTTAAAAATTTTTTGTGCTTTTTATTTTTTAATGAAATTGCTTCTTTAAAAAAAAAGATTTATTTATTTATTTGAAATTCAGAGCTACACAGAGAGAAGAGAGGCAGAGAGAGAGAGAGAGAGAGAGAGAGAGAGGTCTTCCATCCAGTGGTTCACTCCCCAGTTGACTGCAATGGCCAGCACTGGGCCAGGCTGAAACCAGGAGCCAGGAGCTTCATCCAGGTCTCCTACGTGGGTGCAGAGGCCCAAGCACTTGGGCCATCTTCTGCTGCTTTCCCAGGCCATAGCAGGGAGCTGGATCAGAAGTGGAGCAGCCGGGACTCAAACTGGCGCTCATATGGGATGCCAGCACTGCAGGCGGCGGATTTACTGGCTCTGCCGCAACAACTGCCCCTCACGTATGTTACTACTTCCAAAGAAAAAACA